TGACGTGAGCAGGAGGGAGGAAGGTAGAGAGGGAGGTCAGTGACAGGGGAGGAAGAGAGAGAGAGAAGAGAGAGAGAGAGAGAGACATGGGGGTAGGGTAGGGGAGAAAGAGAGAGAGAAAGGGTGGTAGGGGGGAGAAGGGGGAGGGGTATGACTAAAGAGAGGAGGTAGGTAGGTAGGTAGAAAGAGAGATGGAGGAAGTAGAGAGGGGAAGGAAGGAAAAGTTAGTGAGAGTAAGGAGGGGATGAAGAGAGTGGAAGGAAGGAAGAGAGAGGGGAGGGGGGGGGGCTGCCGTGCCTGTCTTTGATCACTCTTTGTTAATTATCCCTTAACTGTTGCCGTAATTTTTGATGTAGGTAATTATGGCAGTGACTGACTAGTTTATGGAGCCGCTGCCGTTCTCCTCCTCCTGGCCCCGCGAGGATCTTGATACTCTCTACTGACCTACCTTCCTTCCTTCCTTCCTTCCTTCCTTCCTTCCTTCCTTCCTCTCATTGTTTTGTCATTTTCTTTTTTTTTCTTATTCCCACATTGTCATGGTTCCCTCGTTCTTGTTCCTCTTTCCTGATTCCCCTACTTCATCTGCTCCTTCCCTCTTCTACATCCTCCCCTCTCTTCCTCCTCCTTCCCTGCTTCCTGTGCGCTCTCTCTCTCTCTCTTTCTCTTGTGGGTGAGTGACCTGCCCTGGTGGGTACACAGTGTCGTTCCTGCCCGTCCAGGTGAACGTCTTTAAGTCGTACTCCTGTAGAAATCCTCGTGGCCCCCTCCCCCACTTCGCTCCTCCGCTGCACTCCTGCCACACCCTGCCCCGCCCCGCCCCGCCCCGCCCTGCCCTGCCCTGCTCCGCCATACCTAAGCAGAAGATGGAAGGCAGTCCTGTTACAAATCTCTCCCTGCCTTGCTTCTCTCCTTTCCTCCCTTCCCACTGTGATACCTACCCACTTCCCTAGGCTCCTTATTCCGCCCTTGTCTAGTAACTCCTAACCCCACCCCCCCCCACCTCGCCCCAGCCCCCCTCGTCCCGCCCACCCACCCTACCCCAGCTCGTCACACACACCACCTGCATGCTCCCCATGATTTTGGAATACACCGCCACCAGCCAAGGATCTCTCTCTCTCTCTCTCTCTCTCTCTCTCTCTCTCTCTCTCTCTCTCTCTCTCACTCAGCAACAGGGAGAGGTGAGAGCCACACACCTGGCTGACGCACTAAACACAATATTCCGCTCGTAATTTGAGATGAATCTTTTTGTTGTTCTCAAACTAACATCACCACAAGTTGATGTAATTATTATTTATTAGGTGTGTGTGTGTGTGTGTGTGTGTGTGTGTGTGTGTGTGTTTTTTGCTCTTCTCTACCAGTTGGTGACCGAATTACAGCTACGTGACCTTATGGGTAATTCATGTATGCAAATTTATTTAATCTTGAAGTACTTAATGAAATATATGCATTGTCAGAGCCGCGTTTAAAGGGGTTTTAGGGTTGAGTAAGGGATTTTTTTACTTACCTTTAAGGTTTCTTTTTTAGGGTTTAGTAAGGGATTTTCTTTATTTAAACCTTAACTCGAACTAAATCCTCCTGCCTTAACCCTGTCTTGAGGGGTTAAGTCATCGTGCTCAGGAGTTGAAGATGTGTTAATCAATGGGTTAATACGTCGTACTCGGATTTGGCATCGAATTCTGGGGGTTTGACATACTCTGGGGTTGGCATCGTACTCGGGGGTTTGGCATCGTACTAAGAGGGTTGTAATCGTACTCAAAGGGTCAAAGGTACTGCATACTCTTGGTCAGCCTCATTATAAGTGACGATCAGACAAACATCCAACAACCTGTGTTTGGCTTTGATGTATGTCCGTCTGTCTCCATCTGTTATAATACTCTGCTAATATTCAACTATTCTCTATCTCCCTTTCTCTATTTCCATTCAAAATACTCGCATAGTATATATAAAGTGAATAAACGTATATACCTTTGTTATAGAACATTTAAAGGATACGAGTATGCGTGTCTAGTATACACCGTGTGAGGGATATTTCCCCAGCAGCACAGTGGAGTCCCGTGCTTTAGCTGGAGTACCACAAGGGGGGAAGCGATCACCACCGCTAGTTATCTCCTCGGGCGGGGCAGGGTGGGGCAGGGCAGGGCAGGGCAGGCAAGGTCACTCACACGTGAACTTGGCTTTAATACATAATGGTAATCCGCGTCTCTCAGGGAGGCAGCAGCTGCATTAATCACGCCGCTTTGGTTTCTCGGATATTTTCATCAGTGTCGCGGCCTGGGGGAGGGGGGGTAGTGCCATGGTTCATCAATCTTGCCCGCAGTTGGCTTGCACCTGATGACACACACACACACACACACACACACACACACACACACACGTACACACACACACACACGCACACGTACACACACACACACACACACACACACACACACACACACAACTTCCCTCAGTGAGACCTCAGTCAGACGGGTTTAATTTTTATCTCTTGTAAAAGATGCGCATCTGTTATACGGAATAATTTACTGTTAATGGCGTCTGACCTGACTAGAGCCAGTTTAGCTTTTACTATGCGTGAAATAAAACTGTACTTTGGAGGTTGAGTTACAGTCGACCCTTTCATCAGTCTCTAGTTTGAATAATGAAAGTTCTTGGAGTAAATAAAAATTACATATAAATAACAGTTTTTCTTTGTATTTGTTAACTAAATGTATCTGAGACAAGGTTCCCTCCCTGTGTAGTACTTAATTAAATACAAATTATATGTAATATTTTAAATGTGTGCTTGTTAATTATATTTAATAAGTTTTCGTCCTTCTGTGGGAATTAATTGAATAGAAAAATTATATTGCTCTAATTTGTGTATTTTTAATTAAAGGTAAAAAAGTAGTGTAGTTAACTGCCCCGTGTGGTAGTTAAGTAGTTGGCAGGTCTTGTCCGTGTGTTAAGTTAGACGATAGACACTCTGTCAAGAACACGGGGAGGAAGAGGGGGGTGAGGGAGGGAGGAAGGAAGGCAAGAGTGAGGGAGGAAGTAGGAAGAGGAAGGCAGGAAGAATGGGGGAGAAAGGCAAGAGGGACGCAGGGAAGGAAGACAAGAGGCAGGAGGGAAGGGAAGGAAGGAAGGAAGTCAGGAAGGACAATAAACCAACACACTTTACTTAGATACAGACAACATAACGCACCTTAGTGATGGTTTACAACTCGCCAACTCTTAATTAACTGATTTCCCGGATTTCTTGGTTCGTATTTATCGTTAATTAGTGTTTTAATTGCATGACTGATGGCCGCCGCAGACTCATTAGGTCAGCTTGTGGGGGACAAATAATATTTAACTTTATATTTCAGGGAATTTTCTCAATTTTTAGTTGTTTTGAGGTGAAAGAATTCCTCGTGGGGGAAGGTCCAGGACTGTCACTAACTGGTTAAGATAAAATACAAGAATGACGTGATGATTATATTGAGATGTTATACCTTAACTACCTGAACACTAGTTAGGGGGAAAATAGTGTACAGATTTTTTTAACAAAATATCTACGTTAATTTCGTCTGGTGTTAGGTTACCTGTAATCCACGTCATATGTTACCTGTGATCCACGTCATGTTACCTGTGATCCACGTCATATGTTACCTGTGATCCACGTCATATGTTACCTGTGATCCACGCCATATGTTACCTGTGATCCACTCCATGTTATCTATGATCCACGCCATGTTTCCTGTGATCCACGCCATATGTTACCTGTGATCCACGCCATATGTTACCTGTGATCCACGCCATATGTTACCTGTGATCCACGCCATATGTTACCTGTGATCCACGCCATATGTTACCTGTGATCCGCGCCATATGTTACCTGTGATCCGCGCCATATGTTACCTGTGATCCACGCCATAGTCTTGAAACATGGCTGCCTCACACCTTAGAGTTTAAGGCTGTGGAAACACTATAATGTTCCCACATTAAGAAATATTAGTTTTATGTGATTTTATTTTATCTATTACGACATTCTTTATTACTGACACTAAATGACTCACTCACTAGCGGAAACCAAATCACCGATTCGTTCACTGACGGAGGAAAATGTAGTTTAATGCTACACTGCACACCTTTGTATGTGTACCTCGTGTTTTTTACTATTTATCAGTTCTTTGTAAGAGAAGAGATATTTTAAATAATTTATATCAGATTATTGTATAGATAACCATATTATAAAGTGTGGGTTGTATTGTTATTTTACCTGTGGGGAAGGTTTAATTGAGGCAGGTGTTAAGGTTTTTGTGGCGGTTAGTGAGGCTGTGGAATATTTCACAAAGCTCCGTGATTTACAGTTTCGTCGGGACGCCTGTGAAACCAGCAATTTGTGCAGCAGATTTGTTGCTGATGAGATAATCAGGTTTATAGTTATTGTGGGTGACGGCGAGTGCCCGTCACATCAGCAGTGATCCATGCGTGAAATTTCATGATGATAACTTAATTAGTTCTGTGATGTTTGAGCCACCCAGGCACTCAGGGCTTCGTTTTCCTAATTTTAACACGGAACATGCTAATTATTATTGCTTTAAAATCTACGAATATTAATTTAATGACGTAATTATTAAAGTTGATAGTGGTTGACGACATTAGGCGGGAGGGACTGCGCATTACGTCACTATGTAAACAAATCTTAGACTTTCGCGGGCGTTCTTTATTATGGCGCGAAAAATTTACTACCACTTCCTGTTTTTTATATCCGCTTTCTTGACTCGGTGTTTTTTTATGTAAGAAATGATAAATTGAATTAATTAATTTGTTTTCATATTTAATAAAGAAGAGATTGTTGAAGCGAGAAGTAAGTAATTAACAACTAGACTCAAGATAGGTTATTTCTTCATGTTTAACTCTTCGGTACAAGTTGTGTCTCAATGCCGAATAAAATCATCTTGTATTAGTGTTTCAAAGTATTTTATTTCATTTTGTATTTACGACAGTTGTGATGTTACTATATAAAGTTACCTTCTGTATTGTTAACCGTGTGATCTTTTGTTCCAGGGTCGATGTAACCGGGAGAAGCCCCCCTGCAAGTACTTCCACCCACCGCAGCACCTCAAAGACCAGCTGCTCATCAACGGCCGCAACCACCTGGCTCTCAAGAACGCCATCATGACTCAGATCCAAGGACTCAGCCCGGGCACACCAGTCGTCCCAGGAACCATACCTATTGTAAGTCGACCACCCTTAATGTTGACAAACCATATCTCTTATCTCTCTCTCTCTCTCTCTCTCTCTCTCGAATGTAGTTTAAATTTATACTGTCATGTTCTTTCCTCTGTTATTTCTTTCCAGCTCTATTATATTATTCCTCCTTCGTTGCTTCTTGTTACCTATTTCCTAAACCTCTCCCGTGTTCTCTCTCATCCTTGCTGATCCAACTGCATTCACTCTTCTTCCCTGTCTCTTTCTCTCCCCCCCCTTCCCTCCTACTCCTGCATTGCCTCCTTCCCCCCCATTCTTCCTCTCCCATCTTCATTATCTCTTTCTTTATATCTTCACTCTTCTTCGTTACCTGTCAAACGTTTAAATGCTTCTCGTTCTTTGTTCCTCTATCTTTCAACTCTCCTCTTCTTTGCTTCTCCTTCCCTGGTATCCACTCCTTGGTTGCCTCCTCCCCCCACACACACGCCATCCCTCTCCCTGGATGCCTCTTCTTCTTGGATGCCTCCTCTCCCTGGATGCCTCTTCTCCCTGTGGCTCCTCCATCACCCTCAAACTACGTCACACCTGCTAGTGGTTGAGGCAGTGGTCACAATTCTTCCTATCCATTCTCCTCCTCACCTCTTGCCCTTCCTCCTGTCTCTCTTCTTCTGCGTCCTCCTCCTCCTCCTCCTCCTCCTCCTCCTCCTTCTTCTTCTCTCGTCTTCTGTACTATACCTGATATTACATTGTATTGATGTTTGTATTAACTATGTATACTGATGATGACTGTATATTAACTATGTGTTGTGTGTATACTTTTCATCAACTTTTACCATGTATTGTGTATGTATATATAACCCACGTGTGTGTATTTGATGTAATGTGTAGGTATACAGGTGTAGTTGTTGTTGTTGTTGTTTTAGTGTACAGTGTTGAGGTGTAGTAGTGGCCAAAGTGTGTTAAGTTAATCGAGTTTCTACACAAGACAAATTGTAGAAAGAAATGTGGATATTATTACCTTGTGTGTGTGTGTGTGTGTGTGTGTGTGTGTGTGTGTGTGTGTGTGTGTGTGTGTGTGTGTGTGTGTGTGTGTGTGTGTGTGTGTGTGTGTGTGTGTGTGTGTGTGTGTGTGTGTGTGTGTGTGTCATGCTTCCCTTAAATATTTTATTTACTTTTTAATAATTATAAAATATTTGATACAAGTGGGGGCGTATATTATGGAGATATATGGGCGTGAGGTGGGTGGGTGTGGGTGTGGGTGTGGGCAGGGGTTGGGTGCAGGTGTGTGGGGGTAGGGGTATGAGCTAGCTAGTAAGTTTACCTGTATTTCATAGGCACTGCAACTATTGTTTTGGGATGAAATATACCTGTATTTTGGACACATTAGGCTGAAATTAAGTAAAGGTTGGGGTAGGTTATTATTACGTTGGGTTAGGTTAGATGAAGTTTAATTGGGGTTAGATTAAATTTGAGTAGGTTAGATTAGGTGAGGTGAAGTGATGATTAAGTTGAGCAAGGTTAAGGGCAGATTAGGTAAGGTTAGGATACAAGTTGGTTATATATATGTTATGTTATAGTTAGACAGGTAAGTCTAGGTAATAAAGTATACAGGTAAGTCTAGGTAATTAGGTATACAGGTAAGCTTAGATAATCAAGTGAGAGTTAGTTAACGTGTAGTGTTGGGGTCACGTTGTTATAACATGTGGCGCTGCGTTACTCTCCACGTGTTACTTATATCCTACATGGCACTGATGTATACATGTGTGTACTGTACTTCCCTGTGTACGTGTTGTTGGTCTGTGTGTATGTTCCTTTGTGTGTCTCTTAATTGCCACGCCACCTCGAAAATGGCGATAAATGCTGTGTACACCTCTCATGTGCGTGCTTCTACAGCTCGTCCATGTGTGTGCTGGTGACGTGTACAGGCCACCCATGTGTGTGTGCTGGTGACATGTACTGGCCACCCCATGTGTGTGCTGGTGACGTGTACAGGCACTTATGTGTGTGCTGGTGAGCGTGTACAGGCCACCCACATGTGTGTGTGCTGTTGGCGTGTACAGGCACCCCATGTGTGTGCTGGTGACATGTGCTGGCCACCCATGTGTGTGCTGGTGACGTCATGCAGGAGCCACCATCGCTGTGCTGGTGACGTGTACAGAGCCACCATGTGTGTGCTGGTGACGTGTACAGGCCACCCATGTGTGTGCTGGTGACGTGTACAGGCCACCCATGGCCGTGCTGGTGACGTGTACAGGCTTTTGTGTGTGTGTGCTGGTGACATGCTGGGCACCCCATGTGTGTGCTGGTGACGTGTGGGCCACCATGTGTGTGCTGGTGACGTGTACAGGCCACCCATGTGTGTGCTGTACAGGCCACCCCATGTGTGTGCTGGTGACATGTGCAGGCACCCCGTGTGTGTGTGCTGGTGACATGTACAGGCCACCCATGTGTGCTGGTGACGTGTGCAGGCCGCGTGTGTGTGCTAGTGACGTACACCCATGTGTGTGCTGGTGACGTGTACCCATAATGTGCTTTGGTGACGTGTACAGGCCACCCATGTGTGTGCTGGTGACGTGTACAGTACGCTAAAGTAGTAATGCTGATGACTGCAGGCACCCCATGTGTGTGCTGGTGACATGTATGGTGCTGTACTGGCCACCCATGTGTGTGCTGGTGACATGTACTGGCCACCCATGTGTGTGCTGGTGACATGTACTGGCCACCCATGTGTGTGCTGGTGACATGTACTGGCCACCCATGTGTGTGCTGGTGACGTGTACAGGCCACCCATGTGCGTGTCAGTGTGGCTCTGCGGGAGGCTGTATTGACGTACCTGCTGCCTGGCTCCTGAGTCACAGCTGGCGGCGACACGTCTGCCCGTGTCTTACGTGCCACCTCCACGCTGTGTTTCATGTGTCACCTTGTGTGTTGCACGTGTCACCACCACCACGCTGTGTTTCATGTGTCACCTGGTGTGTTGCACGTATCACCACCCTCCACACTGTGTTGTACGTGCCGACATTGTTGGGGTACTGCTGTGCCCTGATACACCCGGGGGAGGAGGGGGGGTCCGAACGAGCGGGTACACTGACAAATCACTCGCTTTCAATTACTCGGGACGTTGAAGCTGTAGCGTAAAAATAAAAAATAAAAAACTTAATATACACAGGACAGTCGCGGAAATGATTGATGACAGAGAAGAAAAAAAATTGGTGCACAGTACAGTACTCGTTGGTAGAGTCCTCGATGCTTGATACTTCCGTCACTAGTTCACTACGACACTGAAGGCGAGTGGGATCACCTGAAGATTAGGCACCCCCATGCTTCTTTCATCACGTGATTAAACACATTAACGTTAATTCTCCCCCCACCCCCCGCGCCCAGGTATCATTATTGTGGTTAAACATTACGTGATATAAGCTGGGGGGCTAAACTTCATGTGATCTGACGAATCATACGTAAATGTATACAGAGTTTCCTGTGTATATATTATTATTTTTTTGAAGGTAGACTGAATGACACAGGAAGAGTGACACAGATGCACAAGCCACGTGGCATCTGTCCGTTCTGGGAGTACAAAATTTCACCCGTTTCTTTTTTCCTTCAACCAACGAAGCTTTTTTTTTTCCTTATTTTATTTTCTATGATAAACATTGGGTTCATCACGCGTATATGGAGCTTATTCATTAAACAAGTCTCTCTTTCTCTGTCACCAAGATGTTACGTTAAGTCAAGTCACCAAGTTATCATGTTAAGTCAAGTCACCAAGATGTCTCGTTAAGTTAATCACCAAGTTATCATGTTAAGTCAAGTCATCAAGATGTCACGTTAAGTTAGTCACCAAATTATCATGTTAAATCAAGTCACCAAGATGTCACGTTAAGTTAATCACCAAGTTATCATGTTAAAGTCAAGTCACCAAGATGTCACGTTAAGTCAAGTCACCAAGATGTCACGTAGCGCCGTAGAGGAGAAAGAATCGACCGATATGTAAGAGAGACGTAGGTGGTGAGGGGGTTGGGGGGAATCCAGGGGCAAGAAGTATGAGAAAATGCGATACAAAAGTTTAATGGGTGGAGGAGGCGTTGGGTGAGCCACGTCCTCTGGGAATATCACACAAAACCTCCGCCAGTGTCCGGCTCCTTCACGTTTTTTCACGGCTCACAAATCAACGCCAGATGACATGGTCGTCGAGGTGGCGGACCTTCTTTGGTTTATTTCCCCCCCTAGGAACGACGGAGAGGGGGGAGGGAGAGAGACAAGGAAGGAGAGGGGGAGGCAGGGAGAGGGGAGGGAGAGAGGGGTGGCAGGACAACAAGATGATGGGTATAAAGGTCACTAGAATATTATATCCGGCTCACCTCACGCACAGATCCTCCCGTCAGGAGTTAAGGTCCCTCTCTAAGGACCCACCATCACCAAGGGCTTGACTAGAGGGCGTGAAGGATAGCTCCCATGAAAGTATCCACTGGGGGCATAGGAAGGGGGGGCAGCTCCTGGGGTGTGTGAGCACGGGCTGGGGTGATGTACCTTACTTCTGGGGGAAATACACTGTGTGCTCCAATGGTCCGGCACCTTTCTTGGGTGAGGTAAGGTAGGAGGAGCGATGGTGTGATGGGAAAGAGCTAGAGTAGGAAGTGCGGTGATGGGAGGAGGTATAGTGTGGGGGGGAAGGGAGGAGGGAAGATAGTGAGGATTACAGAGCAGGAGGTCGGACTGGTAGGGAGGAGAGAGGGTGGATGGGAGAGGTGGTAGAGGGGATAGAGGGTGGGCGGGAGGGGAGAGAAGGTGGATGGGAGAGGTGGTAGAGGGGATAGAGGGTGGGCGGGAGGGGAGAGAAGGTGGATGGGAGGGATGGGAAAGAAGTAACAGCATGGTGTTGTAGCACGTATGGGCAGAGAGAGAGAGAGAGAAGCCGCTTGTGTAATGGGCTGGGAATATAATGACACGCTGAGGACAGAGGGAAACACTAGCGGAGGTTCGGTATAGGGGTTAGAAAGGAAGGCTGGATATAATATAAGGCTCAGATGGCTCGCCTCGTATGTGGGGGGTCGGTACTGGTCGAGGTATTGGGAAGTTGTGACCACATAGTGCGTAGGGTAGAGGTGAATGGGAAGTGGCCAGGTGGAGGTAGTGTACTGTGTGTGTGTGTAGAGGTAGGTTGCCGTGTAAGGTGGCTCTGGGTATAAGAGGGCAAACTGCTCACGTGTACTGGGGTCACGGTATATAATGTATAGTGTAACGTATGCTATGTATATCCTGGTGATCATTCATACTTTTAAGGAGTCTTGTATTATATCCGTGCGAGCGTTATGTATACCTGGTGATCATACACGCTTATCTTGACGTCTTTGTAAAGGTTAATGTACTGTACATGCTGGTGAGCGTCCTGTATTTGTGGTGACTAGACGGTGTGTCTTGGTGAGCATTACGGGGTGAGTGTCGGCCCCCTGACGGTGTGTCTTGGTGAGCATTACGGGGTGAGTGTCGGCCCCCTGACGGTGTGTCTTGGTGAGCATTACGGGGTGAGTGTCGGCCCCCTGACGGTGTGTCTTGGTGAGCATTGCAGTAGTGGCCGCCCCTCTGACGGTGTGTCTTGGTGAGCACATGCGAGTGTCGGCCCCGACGGTAAAAGTCCGGTGGCATTGGCTGGGTGAGTGTCGGCTCTGACGGTGTGTGTCTTGGCAGGAGCATTACGGGGTGAGGTCGGCCCCTGACGGTGTGTCTTGGTGAGCATTACGGTGAGTGTCGGCCCCCTGACGGTGTGTGTGTCCTTAGTATACTACGGGGTGGTGAGTGTCGGCTCGACGGTGTAGTCTTGGTGAGCATTACGGGTGAGTGTCGGCCCCCTGACGGTGTGTGTGTGTCTTTGGGTGATCATTACGGGTGAGTGTCGGCCCTGACGGTGTGTGTCTTGGTGAGCATTACGGGTGAGTGTCGGCCCTGACGGTGTGTGTCTTGGTGAGCATTACGGGGTGAGTGTCGGCCCCTGACGGTGTGTCTTGGTGGAGCATTACGGGGTGAGTGTCGGCCCCTGACGGTGTGTCTTGGTGAGCATTACGGGTGAGGTCGGCCCCTGACGGTGTGTGTGTCTTGGTGAGCATTACGGGGTGAGTGTCGGCCTCTGACGGTGTGTCTTGGTGAGCATTACGGGTGAGTGTCGGCCCCCTGACGGTGTGTCTTGGTGAGCATTACAAGAGTGTCGGCCCCCGGACGGTGTGTCCTGGTGAGCATTACGGATGAGTGTCGGCCCTGACGGTGTGTGTGTCTGGTGAGCATTACGGGTGAGTGTCGGCCTCTGACGGTGTGTCTTGGTGAGCATTACGGGGTGAGTGTCGGCCCCTGACGGTGTGTCTTGGTGAGCATTACGGGTGAGTGTACGGCCCCTGAGAGTGTATATGGCGTCTATGCATCTTACATACTCCTTAACGACGGCTTCATGTCCCATTCTCTATCCTGCTGTTTTATGGCTTATTTCTTCCCCTTGTCTCTTACCTTTTTCTCTTCTTCCTCTCTTCGTGTGTGTGTGTGTGTGTGTGTGTGTGTGTGTGTGTGTGTGTGTGTGTGTGGAGCGTCATGGGAGGGTTTATGATCGTTGCATGACAGAGGAGCTGTTGATCATCTACATGACAAAGTCTTCCCTCCCTCCGCGAGTCTCAGCAGCTCTTCATCACCGCCTGACCCCCAGCTGCCGCCACACACGTCTTAGCGCCACCACCATCACCACCGATCTCCAACACCATTTTCCGCCGGTCTCCAACACCAACAGAACCTCCACCATCTTATCCAATACCGCCTTCACCCTGTCACCAGCAGAACTCTCATCATCATTAGCTTATCACCAGCAAGAGCCTTCACTATCAAAAGGCTCATTATCCCCCGTCACCAGCAGGAACCACCACCACCACCCCGTCACCAGCAGGAACATCCACCACCACCCCGTCACCAGCAGGAACATCCACCACCACCCCGTCACCAGCAGGAACATCCACATCAGGAACATCCACCACCACCCTGTCACCAGCAGGAACATCCCACAACCCCGTCACCAGCAGGAACCACCACCACCACCCCGTCACCAGCAGGAACATCCACATCCCCGTCACCAGCAGGAACATCCCACAACCCGTCACCAGCAGGAACCACCACCACCACCCCGTCACCAGCAGGAACATCCCACATCCCCGTCAACAGTAGGGAACATCCCACATCCCCGTCACCAGCAGTCCCACAACCCCGTCACCAGGGAACATCCCCTGGCCGTCACCAGCAGGAACATCCCACATCCCCGTCACCAGCGCACCACCTGGAACCGCAGGAACCACCACCACACCACCCCGTCACCAGCAGGAACATCCCACAACCCCGTCACCAGCAGGAACATCCCACAACCCCGTCACCAGCAGGAACCACCCACCACCACCCCGTCACCAGCAGGAACATCCCACATCCCCGTCACCAGCAGGAACATCCCACAACCCCGTCACCAGCAGGAACCACCACCACACCCCGTCACCAGCAGGAACATCCCACATCCCCGTCACCAGCAGGAACATCCACCACCACCCCGTCACCAGCAGGAACATCCCACAACCCCGTCACCAGCAGGAACATCCCACAACCCCGTCACCAGCAGGAACATCCCACAACCCCGTCACCAGCACCCCACCACCCCGTCACCAGCAGGAACCACCACCACCACCCCGTCACCAGCAGGAACATCCCACATCCCCGTCACCAGCAGGAACATCCCAACCCCGTCACCAGCAGGAACATCCACCACCAATTCCGTCACCAGCAGGAACATCCCACAGCCCCGTCACCAGCAGGAACATCCACCACCCCCGTCACCAGCAGGAACATCCCACAACCCCGTCACCAGCAGGAACTTCCACCACCCCGTCACCAGCAGGAACATCCCACAGCCCCGTCACCAGCAGGAACATCCCACAGCCCCGTCACCAGCAGGAACATCCCACAACCCCGTCACCAGCAGGAACATCCACCACCCCTGTCACCACCACCTCCACTCCCGACACCACCACCACTCCTGTCACCATCACCACTCCCGTCACCACCACTCCCGTTACCACCACCACCAGCAGCAGCAGCAGCAGCAGGAGACTCAGCTACCCTGGCGGGAGTTGGATAATCCGGGTGACTGAGCCTGACCCCCACTGCGGCATCAGGAGACGACCCCGTCCGTCTTGCCGACATCTCTACTTGATCCTCTTACTCCAGCACAGATTTTTGTATGCTGTATTTTGAGCTCAGCGGAGGAGGATGAACCCGGCTCCCCGCTGTTCCTGGAGTCTGGCGCAGGGAGCGAGCTACCCCATCAGGTTATCAGTGATCTGGAAGAGAAAAGAAGGGGAGGATAATGAGGGAGTCAGGTTGTAAGACAAAAAAATTTAATTATGATAAACTGTCTTCAGAGTTTAGTAAAGTGGGAAGTGATTGGAGGTTTTTGGACCCAGCCTGCCAGGGACCGCACTGACTGGCGGTCGCTGCGGGGCCTCGTGACGCCCACACGACAGTGGCGCCATATTTTTTTATTTTTTTATTTTTTTAATAATTACTAGTGAAAATCTGTGTTTGTCGAGATGAAAGGTAGGTCATTAATAATATCATTGGAATATATTTGTCACACACATATATATATATATATATATATATATATATATATATATATATATGTATGTATGTATGTATGTATGTATGTATGTATGTATGTATGTATGTATGTATGTATGTATGTATGTATGTATGTATGTATGTATGTATATATATATGTATAGATATATATGTATATATGTATATATATATACATATATATACATATATACATGTATGTATATGTAATATATATGTATATATATATATATATATATATATATATATATATATATATATATATATATATATATATATATATATATATATATAGAGAGAGAGAGAGAGAGAGAGAGAGAGAGAGAGAGAGAGAGAGAGAGCCAGAAAGTTCCCTGCCTCTTGTTACAAAGCTTCAGGATTTTAGGATAGAGATGAGACGAGAAATTCCGAGAACAATCGAGAATTTATATCGCCTTACATGACGTTGTGCTGGCGGCCCTGTCTCCCAGCTGTTATCCCTTACTGAGGCGCCCTGGCAGTCCGCGCTATATTTATTTCATTGTCTTTATGTAGTAGTTTGATTGCAAATAACGTGTCAAACATTATTTCTTTATTCATTTTTTTTAAATCAACATATCTTTAGGTTATCTTATTTCCTTGACTGCGAATTATATACCCAACAATATTGCCTCATTATTAGCTGTACAAAAACCCAAGATAACGTTCACATTATCTTGTAACAAATGAAGTCTTTGTGTATGATCTGGTGACAATATTTCCTCATTAAATGTTATACAAGAGAGTTAACTTGATATATGTTTAATTAATTTTCTCAGCTACAGGAAGCCTCGCTCTCTGCTACTTATGTTCACACTCTTGTAGCTAATTAAGTAGTTGGGTTGTTTAATCCGCTAAATTTGCCTTGTGTATCTAAGGAAATATAATTTGTAAGCGAGAATATAAATGTTTACATCAGCCAGCAAACAACTGCTTCTCTAAACACCAGTGCTATTTTTCTGCCTCGAGTTACTCTGGCGTAAACAGCTACTTGTGTGTGTGTGTGTGTGTGTGTGTGTGTGTGTGTGTGTGTGTGTGTGTGTGTGTGTGTGTGTGTGTGTGTGTGTGTGTGTGTGTGTGTGTGTGTGTGTGTGTGTGTGTGTGTGACCCTGTGACAGTAATGAGCTGCCCCATGATAAGAATTTTCCTCCTATAATATATGTAGCCATCTCAGTCTCCTCCCCCTTATGCTGTGGTGACATGCTCCTTCCCTCTGTCCTCACCCATCCCTCCATAATCTTTCCTCACTTCCCCTCCTTCCACCATCTTCTCCTCCTCCTCCCACATTACCCTTGGAGTGTTGGCTTGACTCTGGTGTCCCCCGTCGCTGCACCAAACTCTCCTCCCGACGAAATTCGAACCTTTGTTGAAATCATGACTGGAATATTTTTTTATGTATACTGTAGATATATGTCTTCCATGTTTTGTTTTGGAATGGTCGTTATTTGTGTGAGTGTGTGCGTGTGCAAGTGTGCAGTGTGTGAGTGAGTGCGAGTGGGAGGGAGGGAGAATTAGCCTACCTCTACCCTCCTTCCCTACATTTTCTGCCCTCTCTCTCTCTCTCTCTCTCTCTCTCTCTCTCTCTCTCTCTCTCTCTCTCTCTCTCTCTCTCTCCTTACCGCCCCCGCCCCTCTCTTATTTTCTGTCGCCCATGTTCTTCTCTCACAGTATTTAGATTCTCTCCTCACCCCCTCCCTCACCCCCCTCACCCCTCCCTCACCCCTCTCCTCCTCACCCCCTCTCCTCACCCCCTCACCCCTCTCCTCACCCCCTTCTCCTACTCCCTCTCCTACTCCCCCTCTCCTCACTCCCCTCTCCTCACCCTCCTCACCCCTCCTACACAGTAATGATGGTTTTTGTTAGTTAATAGTGACTTAATTAACGTACTGTACTGGGGTTTTCTTCATCATCGCCTAACCATTTTCTGTCATTATTTCCCCCTTTATTTTAACATTTTCTATTTCTTTCAAGTTTCCTTTCCCTTTTACCATTTTTCCCCCCCCTAAGCCTCACGTTTCATGCCATTTTCCCTATTTTCTTTAATATTTCTCACCATTTTCTACCATTACAATAACATCACTGTAATGGCGACTATGTGTGCACTACTGATATTATATAGAGGAACAATACACCGTGGTCAGGCAGAGGTCATCACTGGACAAAGGTCAAAGGTTAAGAGAGATAACAGTCATTGGTCAGGTGTCAGGAGAAGGGGGGGGGGTTGGTGGTTGTCGCCCCCTCATTTCTTTTGTACCCCCCCCACAACCATTAGGCAGGCAGGTGTAATTGTTGCCCATTTGTATAATCTGGGCCACGGGGAATGGCGCGTGGGTGTGAGGGGGGGGGTTGTGCTTGTGGGGATGTGCTTGTGTAGAGGTGTAAGTTTGGGGGGTGCTTGTGTAGAGATGTGTGTGTGTAGCAGGGTATGTGCTTGTGTAGAGATGTGTGTGTGTAGCAGGGTATGTGCTTTTGTAGAGGTGTGTGTGAGGGGATGTGCTTGTGTAGAGATGTGTGTGTGTTGGGATGTGCTTGTGTAGAGATGTGTGTGTGTGTTGGGATGTGCTTGTGTATGTCTCAATATAAAGTAATTTCCACCACCAAACACCGTCACTAGGGTCGTAAGTTGTATATCCACCTCAAATAACCTAACCTAACCTAGTTGTATATCTGCCTCACCTAACCTAACCTAAGCTAACCACTATATATAATGTACTTTCATGCAATTCTTCCATTCTCTTTTTTTTTGTGTAAAGGTAAGCTAATAATGTTTTGATCTTGTTGATTGAACTTGTTATTGTAGTTAATTTAGAGCTTTGTGTCTGGCTGGCTCCTCACTTTGTCAACACTGGTACTACTAGTCAACAAACTATCTTTATCCTAAGTACAGAGGTGTGTGTTTAAAGGTCATATGTCTCGTATTACTCAACCTGGGTCTATCGCCTCGTCGTGGAAATTGTGAATAGCGATGGATTCCTTAATATACTGTGTCTTTTTTTTTGGGTGGGGGGGGATGCTTATTACACACTCTCTGCCCCCCTACCACCGCTTCACCCACCACCGTTTCATCCCCCACCGTTTCACCCACCATCGCTTCACCCACCATCGTTAATGTATAAGTTATAATATTTGTATTTAACTGAAGTGTGTTAATTATTAGAGGGGAGAGTGGGGGGGTGGGAGGGGTGGGGGTGGAAGGAAGGGGAGACTTGATGGAACAACCCTCCGTCCCCTACCTCCCCTACCCCACCAATACCCCGTAGGACACTGGCTGCCACCCCCCCGTCCTCATACAGTGTATACATTGTCCTCCTTGTGTCCAATGACTCGTAACATCCACCTGACATATACATACATATAACGTGTATCCAAAATCCATGTATATACAATGTAATACACTCATACAAGGGTCTTCATCTCATACACCATATTGACTTTTAATGTTATTCTATACACCGTGTTTAGCCAGTAATAACTCTTGGTTTCTTTACACGCTACAGGAACAAGTGAGTACCATTATCTTGTGTTTGTTTACACTCATAATAATGTGCTGGTGACTCTTTTAAGTGTTGGTGAGGTATGTTATTGGTGTATGTTACCTGGGTGGTTGGGGGGGGGGAGAGGAGGTGGGGTGGGGGGAGGAAGAAGAATGATACGAAGGAAGGGGATTATACTGGAGGAGGAGGGGGGGAAGAATGTAGAGGAGGAAAGGTGTTATATTGGAGAAGGAAGTTGGGAAGGAGTAAAAACCAGAGAAGGAGGAAGAAGTTTTAAGAGGGATAGAGGAGGTGAAGAAGGGGAAGATTATACAGGAAATGCGAAGAAGAAAAGGGATATAGAAAAGGGTTAATAAGGAGGAAGATGGAAATTAGTTTAGGAAGAAAAGGGGGAGGAGGAGGAGGAGGAGGAGGAGGAGGATGATGGTGGGAAGGCGCTCAGGAAACAGGAGGAATTAGGAAAGAATAGAAGGAAAAGAAAATGTAAGGAGATTAAGAGGGAGAAAGGAAGACCATATTTTGAAGGAGAAAGGAGGAGCGAAGGGAGGGGAAAAAATTACAACGATGAGAGATGGAGGAAGGAGAGAGTCATTCACCAACTCCCCCTCCCTCTTGGCAGCATTTATATATTGGGTTTAATGCTCTCTCTCTCTCTCTCTCTCTCTCTCAGACCAGGACGTGTTTTTCACCTCCCACGCCCACCTAATCCCTCGACCCCATTACCCACCCTCCTCCTCCCTCCCCACCCACGCCTTCCTCAGGTAGTACTCCCCTCCACCACTACCACACAGACGTCACCTGGCAAAGTTTTGAGGTTATGTATTAATTAGTGACTTGTAGGTGACTGGCGTAGTTAACTAAAGGGCGTGGGGACTGTGTTCGTAGTTAACTGTAGGTACTGACCCTTATAAAGATAACTGCAGGAACTGGACCCTATTATAAAGGTAACTGCAGGAACTGACCTATTATAAAGGTAACTGCAGACTGACCCTATTATAAAGGTAACTGCAGGAACTGACCCTATTATAAGGGTAACTGACCCAGGGTAACTGCAGAACTGACCCCTATTATAAAGGTAACTGCAGGAACTGACCCCTATTATAAAGGTAACGCAGGAACTGACCCCATTATGTGCATTATAAGGGTAACTGCAGACTGACCCCATTATAAAAGAACTGCTGAACTGACCCCTATTATAAGGGTAACTGCAGGAACTGACCCCTATTATAACTGTAGGAACTGACCCCTATTATAAGGGTAACTGCAGGAACTGACCCCTATTATAAGGGTAACTGCAGGAACTGACCCCTATTATAAGGGTAACTGCAGGAATCGACCCTATTATAAGGGTAACTGCAGGAACTGACCCTCTATTATAAGGGTAACTGCAGGAACTGACCCCTATATGGCAACTGCTGGAACTGACCCTATTATAATAAGGGTAACCCGCAGAACCACCCCTATTATAAGGGTAACTGCAGGAACTGCAGGTAACTGAACACCCTATTATAAGGGTAACTGCAGGAACTGACCCCTATTATATAGGTAACTGCAGGAACTGACCCCTATTATAAGGGTAACTGCAGGAACCTGACCCCTATTATATAGGTAACTGCAGGAACTGACCCCTATATATATATAGGTAACTGCAGGAAACTGACTCTATTATATAGGTAACTGCAGGAACTGACCCTGTATAAGGGGTAACTGCAGGAACTGACCCCTATATATAGGTAACTGCAGGAACTGACCCCTATTATAAGGTAACTGCAGGAACTGACCCTCATTATATAGGTAACTGCAGGAACTGACCCTATATAAGGGTAACTGGGAACTTGACCCCTATTATAACTGGGAACTGGTGAACTGACCCAGGTAACTGCAGAGACCCCTATTATAAGGGTAACTGCAGGAACTGACCCCTATTATATAGGTAACTGCAGGAACTGACCCCTATTATAAGGGTAACTGCAGGAACTGACCCCTATTATATAGGTAACTGCAGGAACTGACCCCTATTATATAGGTAACTGCAGGAACTGACCCCTATTATATAGGTAACTGCAGGAACTGACCCCTATTATAAGGGTAACTGCAGGAACTGACCCCTATTATATAGGTAACTGCAGGAACTGACTCCTCTTTAGCAACGGACATCAACAAGGTTAAGGCCAGGCGGCGTGAGCAGGAGGAAAAGTGTTTATCTAGGTCAGGAGCACGTCTTAACGCCCCTCTTACCTGCAGGTGTCCTGGTTCCCTCCAGAAAGGATCACCTGATGATTAGTTACCACGGCTTATTTTACCCGATGGTTAAACGCCATAACGCTAATCTAACTTAACCACCCTAATGCTAACCTAGATTAACCTAACTTAACTAACCTAATTATTACCTAACCAACCTAGATTAATCAAACAAGCATCTTAATTCTAACGTAGATTAACCTAACTTAACTAACCTAATTAATGCCTAACCTAATCACCCTTGAGGTAACGTAATCTAATCTTATTTAACCTAACCCTCCAGGTAGCGTCAGGGTAGTTAATACTCAGGTGAAACAGGTTGGGGTGTGTAATCTTCAGGTGATGCCTAATAAATATTCAGCTTTTAGATACAAAACTTTGGCTTCCTTAGCTGGTCCAGTCCATTGAATTTTTAAACGGATATTACTTTAGAACCTTGAGTACAGCCATACCTGTAATAATCATCGAGTACAGTCATCTGCCTGTACCTGTAGTGTTGCTTCTGTGTTGAGATCACTTGACTTGTGGTAGTTTGGAATCTGTGAGGCATAGGTGATGTAGGGTGGCAGTACATGTAAATTAAGAAGGAAATTAGTTCAAATTTTCCTGGTAGAGTGGGAGGTGGAGGGAGGTAGTGCAGGGTCCCAGGTGGGTTAGGTTAGGTTAGTGTGACAGGCTGTATAATGTGGTAGGTGGTGGAGGTTAGGTTAGGTTAGGTTAGGTTAGGTTAGTGTGACAGGCTGTATAATGTGGTAGGTGGTGGAGGTTAGGTTAGGTTAGTGTGACAGGCTGTATAATGTGGTAGGTGGTGGAGGTTTATATATGGCAGGTCGGGTGTCTGGACTGGACCCTAGTGACTCGCGTCGGTCACGAGGCGAAGGTGACTCAGGTCCATATTGTTTACTTTTCCTGTCACTCTTCAATCTTGTTTACACGTAGTAATTTGTTTTCTGGTGTTTGAGTGATGATGACCCCTGGGTGTGATGTCTGCCGTGGCCAGGGGTACGGGGGATAAGGTAGACACCACGGCACGCCCCACCATATTACGTGACGACTCAGGCAGTACGACACGTTGGCCGATCACGCCTTGGATTGCAGGTCTGGTGGCGACAACCTGGCCTGCCAGACGGAGGTTCTCTTGCTGGAAATTAGCCGTTGGGGCAAATGTGGCCCTGCTTCACCCCCCCCCCTCCCCTCCTTCCCTCCCTCTTCCACAAGCCTGGTGATAACTTTCTCAGTTGGTAATACTTTTATCTGTACTTGGTCGCGTGCGGTGTACTGCACTGTACAGGGCCTCGGTTCACTGTACGACTCAGTGTAGGAACGTACAGTACTCGCTGGATTTCTAAAACGTGTTGTGTAGTCGATACGTAATAAATTATCATCGGGGGCGGGAGGGAGGCAGGGAGGAGGAAAAACTAGTATGCTTATGCAAGCTTACAGAGGCTTATGTACACCCCCCCACCCCCACACACACACACTCACACACACACAGTTTACAGTTTGTATTCATAACTGTATTTGTGGGTCTCAGTCATTCACTCCATAAATCCCGACAAAATGAGATTGTGTAAGATTTAACAGTTTGGGGGAGAGAGGAAGGCGATGGTGGGGTAGTTGTAGGGGGTGATGGGAAAGTAAGAGGAGGAGGTAGCACGGGGCAAGAGTAGGAAGGGAAGTAGAGACGAGGGAGAGGTAGAATAACGAGGGGGGTAGCAGTAGGAGAAGGGATTAGGAGGAGGAGGAGGAGGAGGTAGGAGGAGAAGGGATTAGGAGGAGGTGGAGGAGGTAGTAGGAGGAGAAGGGATAAGGAGAAGGAGGAGGTATCAGGAGAAGGGATAAGCAGCAGCAGGAGGAGGAGGTAGCAGAAGGGGTAAGCAGGAGGAGGGGGAGAAGGGGGGGTAGCTCGTATCAGATACAAACCAGTTCCTGAACAAGGTGGCGGCTGCAGTGTTAGTCACAGCAGTCCTTCTCCTTGGATCGTCATACTGACCCCCACAACACACCCACACAACACACCCACACAACACCAACACGCAACACCAACACACCCACACAACACCAACACACCCACACAACACCAACACACCCACACAACACAACACACCCACACAACACACCCACACCACCCAACACACCCACACAACACATCCACACAACACCCACACAGCACACCCACACAACGCTAATTGCACTACTGAGAGGGCGTGAGGGGGTGTTACCTGGGCCCCTTAAACAATTTACGCCAGGTAAGGACCGTGGTTTTATGGCGGGACTCGTGGGTCGTGGGCCCAGGGTTGAACGTGATCGATGGTGTTAAGGCCTTCACGACTTACCGTAAACACTGGTGGACATGCGCCAGGAGGACCCGCTGCCTCGGTCCTTTTCTGGTGACGAAGGGCAGGAGTGGGGAGTAGTTTTTCCTTATTTTTTTTTTATCCAGCATCCATTATTACTGATTTATTTTTTAATAACATAGGGCAAATCTCAGTCCCTCCCCCCCCCTCTTGTTAGCTGTGTTTAGTCTGCCGCCTTGTGCACGTCTCTCCTGACCTAATTGATGGATGTTTTTCTCGTGTGAGGATGTCTTTTACTACCAGTGTGGCTATAAAAAGGTCATAGCTCCCTTCCTCTGCTGCCGTGTCTCTAATATATTGATTATATTACTAAACCTATTATTATTATTATTATTATTATTATTATTATTAATTATTATTATTATTAATTATTTACTTTTTATTAATAATGTTCCTGTTATTTATATTATT